GGCTTGCATCCATAGATGCTTCTCAAGCAAATCCCGGGACGTCATTCTTCCCCTGTACTCGGCCTTAGTGAGGCCGCAGCTGGAGTACTGTGTCCAGTTTTGGGCTCCACAATTCAAAAAGGATGTGGAGAAGCTTGAGTGCAGAGAAGAGCCACGCGCATGATCAGAGGTCAGGGAAGCAGACCCTACGATGACAGGCTGAGAGCCCTGGGGCTCTTTAGCCTGAAAAAGCGCAGGCTCAGGGGTGATCTGATGGCCACCTACAAGTTTATCAGGGGTGACCACCAGCGTCTGGGGGAACGTTTGTTCACCAGAGCGCCCCAAGGGATGACGAGGTCGAATGGTCACAAACTACTTCAAGATCGTTTCAGGCTGGACATAAGGAAGAACTTCTTTACTGTCCAAGCCCCCAAGGTCTGGAACAGCCTGCCACCGGAGGTGGTTCAAGCGCCTTCATTGAACACCTTCAAGATGCAACTGGATGCTTATCTTGCTGGGATCCTATGACCCCAGCTGACTTCCTGCCCTTTGGGCGGGGGGCTGGACTCGATGATCTTCCGAGGTCCCTTCCAGCCCTGATGTCTATGAAATCTATGAAATCTATGAAACTGATGTTGGCTGGTTTAGACCAGTGATTCCTCTTGCCCAGTCTCCCGTGTCACACGGGGGCAGAGAGCAGATGCTGACCAATTTTGCCTATGTTGCCAATTTATATTTTGACTCTTTTTTGGTGTGTGCCTATTTTACTGCATAGGTTTTTTTTAACTTTGATATGCAATCTAGCAACAAGCTGGTTGTGGTGTTTGCTTTGGCTTGGCTCTTAAACAGAATCACTTGGTGCAAATCAGTAAAAGTTCTGGTGTCCCTTGACCTGGAGACTGTGAGGTGGTGTGATTTGTGTGGACATGCCTCCCCATCTGCACCCCTCTTTCCAAATCCTGGATTCACCCATGCCTGAGCCTAAAAATGGCTGAGTCACAGAATCACAGAAAATGAGGGTTGGAGGGGACCTCAGGGGGGTCACATCTAGTCCAACCCCCTGCTCAAAGCAGGACCAGCCCCAACTACATCATCCCAGCCAAGGCTTTGTTTAGCCGGGCCTTAAAAACCTCCAAGGATGGCAATTCTGCCAGCTCTCTAGGTAACCTGCACCATCCTCCTAGTGAAAAAGTTTTTCCTAATGTCCATCCCTCGCTGCAATTTGAAGAGTTGTAGAGAAGCGGGGCTGGAAGGGACCTCCACAGCTCATGTAGTTCAACCCCCTGCCTGAGGCAGGATGCTCCCGACCCGTGCCCTCCCATACAACCATCATCTGAACCCCACAGAAAGCTGACAAGCACCGGGGTGGGCATACAGGGAACTGGGCTTCGTTAGTCTGGAGAAGAGAAGACTGAGGGGACTGGATAGCAGCCTTCGGCTATCTGGAAGGGGGTTGCACAGAGGATGGAGCTGGACTGCTCTCGGTGAGGGCAGACGACAGAACAAGCAGCAATGGGCTCACATTGCAGCACGGGAAGTTGAGGTTGGATATTAGGAAAATCTTTCTCACTAGGAGGGTGGTGAAGCACTGGCACAGGTGACCCAGCGTGATGGCGGACTCTCCGTCCCAGACCCGGCTCGACGTCGCCTTGGCTGGGACGATCGTGTTGGGGCTGGTCCTGCTTGGGGCAGGGGGGTAGACGTCCCTTCCAGCCTTCGCTCTCTTCCTCTTGCGCGTGGCGCCGGGTGCCAACTCCCACATCCGCGACCCGCTGGCCTGACCGCTCAACGCGCCACAAAAGTGCACGTGCAAAGCCTGCCCCTTCGGATGATGGGTCGCCCCCATGGCACCGCGGTGCGCCCATCTCTTGCGACCCATTTGGGGGTGGCCCAAAACCCAGCAGGCCCACAGCAGAGCTCCCCCAGCCGGGCCCAGTGCCCCCAGGAGCTCGCTTGGCCCCGGCCCTGCCCCGCCTTGCTGCAGGCGCATCCCCAAATGGGCCAGCATCCAAGCGCGGCGGGGGCCGGCGGAGCGGCGGGGCGGGCGGCCAATGCAGCGGGGCCGGGCGCGGGCTGCTCAGAGCCGCGCAGCATCCCCGGACAAAGGCATCCGTGCGAGCCGGCGCAGGCAGCATGCGGCGAGCGGGGCTGGCGCTGCTCCTGCTCCTGCTCCTGGCCCGCCTGGGCTGCGGGGGTAAGTCACACTGGGGGTCCGCCGCGTGGAGCCGGAGATCCAGGCAGGAGGGGCAGCCGGGGGGCTAGGAGGGATTTTAGCCCGAGATACAGGACTGGGGAGCCAGAGGGGTAGGCAGGAGGGGCAGCCGGAGATATAGGACCTCTAGCAAGAGAGCTGGGAGGGATGGTAGCTGGAGATCCAGGACCTGGAGCCCGAGATCTAGGCAGGAAGGCGTAGCCGGAGATTTAGGAGGGGTAGCTGGAGATCTAGCAGGGGTATTAGCTGGAGATCCAGGACTTGGAGCCGGAGATGTAGGCAGGAAGGGGTAGCCGGAGGTCTAGGAGGGATAACTGGGGATATAGCTGTAGCCGGAGATGTAGGCAGGAAGGGGTAGCCAGAGATATAAGATCTATAGCAGGATTGCTGGGAGGGATATTGGCCGGAGATCCAGGACCTGGAGCTGGAGATGTAGGCGGAAGGGGGAGCCGGAGGTCTAGGAGGGATAACTGGGGATATAGGAGCTGTAGCCGGAGATGTAGGCAGGAAGGGGTAGCAGGAGATATAGGACCTATAGCAGGATTGCTGGGAGGGATATTGGCTGGAGATCCAGGACCTGGAGCCTGAGATCTAGGTAGGAAGGGGTAGCCGGAGGTCTTGGCGGGATAACTGGGATATAAGAGCTGTAGCTGGAGATCTAGGAGGGATATTAGCTGGAGATTTATGACCGGTACGCCGAGATCTAGGCAGGAAGGGGTAGCTGGAGACCTAGCGGGGCGTCTGCCCCTCGCAGTCCCCCGGCTCTCCCAGAGCGGGGCTGGCCGAGGCCATGCAGACCGGGCAGCCGCAGACACTGTTGTGCTGAGTTCAAAGTGGAACCGACTCTGGCAGACGGGACTGAAACAAATCCGGGTTGTCCTGCGTGCGCGGCGTGCTCGCCACCCCCCACGACTCCAGAGCCCTTCGCGCCCCTGGTCCCTGCTTGTCGCAGGCTCCGTCCCTCCGCGTCCCCCCCTCCCCGCGCGCTCGCTGAAATGCAGAGGTCTGAAGGCAGCGGTAGTGTAGCAGCGTCCAGCCGCACCGGAGGCACAGAGCCTGGCTTCTGATTCAGTCTCGTGTCAGAGCTACCACTGCAGCCACCGCAGCCAGGGTACTTCGTATTCAGAGGGCGGTATAATGTCCTCTCCAGCCCGGTGTGGAGGTAACTCCTGCCCTGCACAGCCCGCCAACCATGGGCGATTCACTCCGGGGCACACCTAAACCAGGACTTGGCACTTGGGTTGAAATGCAGGTGTCTGAGTCCAAAGGAGCCATCCCCCAAGCCCTGCTAAACAGCTGAGATGCCTCCTTTCTATGGCAAAATGTAGGTGCCTAAAATTCAGCTCCTGTTCTTGCTTAGACCCAAGTCCTAGGGCGGAGGATCCAGCTATTAGAGTCTACTGCCTCTGTCCTCCTGCTCCGGCACGTTTGTCTGAAGAGAAGTGGGATCAGACTGTGTAAAGGGGAGTTTGATGAGATTAGTAGGCCTGTCTTGGATTTAGCTAGGACTTGGGTGTTAACACCTGTACTCTTTCAGAGCTGCAAGCCCCAGAGACCTCGGTTCTGGGTTTAATTTGAAGCATGTCAAATTCACTCCAACAATTTAAAAAAAAATGAAGTTTGAGGAAGGGGAAATTGCTCCCATGTTTCAAAGGGAAAGCCTGGAACGTTTAATGTGAGAGGCAGATGTGCAGCCCTGCTTCAGGGCATGTTGTATATCGGTGTATGCCTGCTGCTGGCTTCGATTTTTACCTATGGGTAGAACCCCCCCCCCCCCCCCGCAGAGACAAGTTGGACTTGTGTTAAACTTACTGAGGTCAGACCCTAGCTTCTCTCTGGGGTTGATCTCCGTCAGTTTATCTCGGAAAATTACCTTTTCTTTGCCAAGGGGTTTGCACCTCCGAAGAGTTTGCAGGGGTTAAACCACCTTGCAGGGAAAAAGCCTGCTCCTGTATTAGCACTGAAGGCATCCCCCTCCTGGGACAAGAAGTGCAGGGACTCCAGCCCATCCCAAAAGCAGACCTGGAGTTTTTATGGGGTTTTCTTGGTGTTTAGCCACTGGAGGATGAGGACAAACTCCGATCTCATGGACACCAGCCTCAGTGTAGACAATCTTGCTTCACTCCATATAGATTATGGCTCGATAACTTTTGGTAGATTTTCCCAGCCAGGAGTTTAGCACTCCAACTGTTTTGAGTTGTAGGGGGTTTAGGCTCAGGGCTGTGCTATGGGGTGTTGGGCTGGGGAGCTGTTATTGTAATGCCTCTGTCAAATAAGCCTTTTATACTCTTCTCGGAAAACATTCGATCAAACTCTGCATGGCAACATCTCCTCTCCTAAGCTGCTGCTGCTGGGTTTTGAAGTAAGCCACTTAGCGAGGCTTTCATATTTTCCCTTGTGTATTGAAGCTGGATGGGGGGGAGGTTGTGGTTTTTTTGGTTTTTTTACCCTTGGGGCCAGATTGCATCTGCCTTATTCACAGTGACTTCCCTCGTTCCCAGCGGGGCCGTTCCAGTTCATCCCAGGTGGAGGGTCTGGTGAGGTCTGCAGCACTTAATTTAATAGCGAGCGATTCCCCTTGCGATCCGAGGGCATATGCAAGGAGCAAAGCGCTGCTGATGTCGGGAAGGGCGACAAACTCTGCCCCTTCATTTTCTATTGCTCCCTAAAGAGGGGAAGCTTTTTATTTATGAAAATCTGTCATTTTTTGGGGTGGGAAGCGGGGAAAATGAACTTGAAATAAAAGGCAAGAATGTCTTAGGGTGATAGCTTTTACTGGATAGAGTTGGACAAGCTTTCCAAATACAGGAGGCTTGATTATTCCCTGCCCGGCCCCTTGGGCATTCATTTCCCCCTGGGCCAAGCAGGTGCCAGTTGCCAGAACGGGCTGAACTTTCCACCTGTGCAAACAGGAGACGGTCGTAACATGGGGCAGTGCAGAATCGGGCCCTGAAAGCAGGTATTTTCTGGTATGGCTGTTGTCCTGCCTTGTCTGGGCCTGATGTTGAATTCATAGCAATAAAATCCACTGCCCGGGTTATGCTCCTGCTCCAGAGCCCGTTGCCTCCAGCTTGCGATTTATACCCGTGCCGCAGATGAGCGCAGCTCACCCCAGAAACCCGTCCGTGTGAGCGTGTGCGCTGTAGCTAGGAAGGATGTGGCTACGGGAATGGACGGCTTTAACCAGAATGCCTTCGGATCCCGCCAGCCTGTCCCCAAAGGGCCCTGGGAGGCCTGTCGCGGCACGTTTGCTTTGTCACTTGTTAGATCTCCAATCAATCCCCTACCAGGGTGGCATTTCCTTGAGAGGAGAAAACTGACACCTTTATCTGAAAGGCAGATAAAAGGGAAGCAAAGTGCAGAACAATCCTTCCCGGAAAGGGCACAAATCCCCCTGGGGGGTCTGCTGCCTGCCTAATCCCAAATCGCTCCTGCCCAAGACTCAAGCACCTCTCTCTAAACCCCGCTCCTTGGTCTCCCAGCTGCCGCTGTGCACCTGAAGCCAAGAGGCGGTTTGGTCAGAGGGTCTACGCACGCACGAACACCTGAAGGTGGATGGTTTTAAAGTTAGCTGACTTTCTTTTAATTTTCTCTCTTTGTTACTATTATTTACACTGTTGGGAGGTCAGCCAGGACCCCTGGAGAAGCAGGACGCAGGGGGGCTCCTTCTACCCTAAGCAAAAGGGCATGTTTGACCATATTAGCAAATGCATCTTCGCTAAGACGTGTTAAAACCCAGATGCAAACCCGTCAAGTGGCCGGGAGTCGGGACTCCGACGAGTTGTAACTTCAGACACCGCTGCATAAGCCACTCTGTGCCTCTGCCTTCCCCAGCTGTGCGACATTAAAAATAACGATGTCCCACTGGGCTGTTTTGAGGCTTAATGAATTAACTGTTTGTAAAGCACCTTGAGGACCAAAGGAGCTACGGCAAGGTGGCATATGGGCTTGTTTTCTGGGGGTTCCTTTAAAGGCGTATGATCGCGATGAAGAAGTGACGCTGCGGCTGATTTCTGCATGGCGTAAAGGAGCACTCTGATGCCTGTAGTTTATTTCCTACCTATGGGGACATTTTACCATCTTTAACTTTCCCTGAGCCTGATGAAGGGTGTGTGACCCTGAAAACTTGCAGAAAACAAAAAAATATATATATTTTTTGCAATTTCTCAGCTGGTCTAATAAAAGGTGTCATCTCTGAACCAAGAGTTGTAGGGTTTTGCCTTCCTGATGCCTGCGGGGCTCCTGTTTGGGGCAGATTTTTGAGGACAGGGAGAGAGACGCTTCTGGGGTTATGTACCAGGCATGAGAGATTGATCCTGGCTGCGGATGAGCTGTCCTGAAGCAGGAAGGGGGGTTGAGACCCAGCTAGGTTGGGGATTGCTGCAGAGGTGAGCTCTCCAGAGGGCCCAGATAACCCCCCACCCTGGTGTCTGGGGGTCTGTGAGCTACTTCCCAGCTGGCATCCTGTCCAGGGGCTCCTCGGGGAGCTGTCTACCTTATGCATTGGCATGGGTAAGGGGCAGGAGGGGGATCTTGGTAGAAATTGGGGACAGCACAGAAGGTAACCAGGAGGAGGGTTAGTCTCTGTCTAGGGAAATCGCTGTGGGCATGTGGGGACATGACTGTGGGGAGGGGCTGCCCCCCAAAGTGCACACGTCCGAGTCCACGTGCACACGTGCAAGTCCACATGCACGCATACACACACACACACATACCCTCAGGGCCCTGCTGACGTGTCAGGGACACACCTGCCAGAGCAAGGAGATGGAGACGGGTGGTTTTCTGTGAAGTGCTGCTGCCCCACCAGCTTCTAGGTTTGGGCCCCTCTTCTTCCATGGGCAGCCTGGCACTGCATACCGGTCCCCATGTCCCAACCCTGCTGCGCTGACCGGGGTGCGGAGGGAGAGAGATCTTCCATCGGCTCCGTGTGTGGCCTGTCACCTGGGATACTTTTGATGCTTTGCTCAAGTCTCTGCCCAGCA